GGATTAGTTGCAAAGTTACTTTTTCAAACAGTCACAAAAAGGAGGCAGTCACTAAATGAGGGCTACCTATAGAAAAAAAGAAAGAACTGAACCAATCCATTAGCTAAAATATTTCCTGCCTTTGATCCAAATATTTTAGAGAGCTGGTATTTCATGAAAAGTCCTGTAAGGGGTGCATTCATATATTTGCAGATGAAAGCCTGCGTAGTTCTACAAAGTCCTAATTTTTAAGTAAAAATTGATCTTTTTCCTGTCTGCCCTCAAAATCCTGTCATTTCACTTAAAAGCTGAAAGCATCTAAGCAGGTTGTTAGAAGCGGAGACCATTGCTAGAATATTATGTTAAAAACAAGAAGGCCCCCGTCCTCTATGGCTGAGTTCCCACAACCTTAATACTCCGTCTTTATTTGGGTATACTATGTTATATAAAGATAGGATTTGTGTTTTCTTTACTTTAATTTTCTCTGTAAGCTTTAGCCCAGTCTTTGTTTACTATTGTGTACTGCTGCCACATTTTGCTCATGGCCTAAAGCAAACTTTGAGGGTTTTCTTTCTTCCCCTCCCCCCCCCCAGGCAAATGCATCAAGTGCTAATGCAGTGGATAACCAGAAGGTGGGATGGGCAGAAGAACCCTAGCACAGTGTCTCTCCTTTGGACTCTTTGTTGAGTTTGAAGAAAACTGAAGAAAATTGGAATATATTCAGCCATTTTTTAACTCTTTCTTTTCTTGTTGATATCTGGAGCCCCACTGGCTCCAGAATATAGTAAGGCACTTTTTTTTCAACCCACTCCCTGTTCTAACCCACTTAACCAGGAATGTGGTGGTTAAAGAAAATATACAGGGGGCAGCTCCCCTGCTTGCCACTAGCTAGAATATGACTACTTGAACCTATCCAGTGGGGAGCCAACCGTCTTTCCAAGCAATTGGGTCAACTACTCTTAATGAGAAGAAGGAAGTTTTCTCACAACATTCCACTGGAATTTGCCTTTCTGTAACTTATAGATGCATGATTCCTTTCTCCATGCTCTGGGAAAAGAGAGAAGAGGTCTTCACCTCCTTCTTTGTGGAATCCTTGCAGGGATTTAAAGAGTCCTAGAATAACCCTCCGTTTTCTCTTCTCACTGCTAAAAAGTCCCAGTTCCTTCCACCTCTCTTCTTAGGATTTTGGTTCCTGACTCATAATCATCCTCATTGCCCTTCTGTGACCCTGCTCCATTTATTTTGAATCATTCCTGAATGTGGTGCCCCAAACTGGACACAGCGTTTCAGGTGGGGTCTGACCAAAGCAGAATAAAGTGGAATGATTACTTCCTGTGATTTGAGAATCATGATGCAATTTAAAATTGCATTTGTCTCATGCAGCAGCCATTTCACACTGCAAAATCACATTGATCTTTTTCATAAGTATCATTACCAAGCCACTCTCCTCCATCCTATTCTGCCCATTTGATCATTCAAATGCATCTTGATTATTCTCTTTTTAAACATGCGAATAAATGCGTTCAGTACAAAAAAGTGAAGACAACATTTCATACAATCAAAGTCTTAATTGTTGATTGAAACCCTATTGAATATATTTTCCAAAGGGGAAGTCCACAAGTATCTTCTTAGCTTCATATGAGTCATGTTAAACATTCCTCAGTAAATCTCACTGGAAATATTTATAGTACAGAATTTCTTTCCTGTGTAATCTATCATGTTTTCATGAACTAACCTTGAATAACATCCATAGGTATCACTACATTTTGCTAAAATTGCACTGCAAAAGTTATCTTTTTTCTAGATTGTATCAGTGGAGTTGTAAGTAAGTTAATACATGTTGCATTACTTAAAATGCATTATAAATTACTTTTTACTTTTAATTTTCATAGGAAGTTTTTGATAAAATTGGTACTATCATCCAATAATTTTTCACAATGAATCCCGTTTATTTCCATATTTCCTAAGGCATATAAGTTGATGCATCATTATAAACTGATTCAACTCCATTTGTTAACTGCCAAATCCATTACCTGGCATTGAATTTAAGCTAATTAGTAGAATATAAAAGTATGGGAAATTGCTTTGACTAAAAAATTAACAACAAAGAGCTTTGATTACTCTATAATGAAGGATGAATTTAGATCTTTTTCATATATCATCTATATTATCAGTATTTTTCTTAATAGATTGTCTTCTTGTGTATTAATATCATTGTGTATAGAATATTGAATAAAATGGTTTTACTTCTCAGCTAGATAAATAGATAAATTATGTTCTGCAAATCATTCAAAGAGGTACTTCACTTGTGAAAACAGTGTAAACACAGTGTCATTCCTTGAACCATCAAGATGACTACATTTTCCTCAAGATTTGACTCCTTCCCATGTTATTGGTATGCACAGAACACTCTTATGCCATGATTTTCTTGGTTTTTGCAAGGAGCATTACATTGCTTAAGGCATTGTCAAAAATGAAGTGCCTCTTTGTGTGATTTGTACTCTCCATAAGTAAAATTTAAAAATTTTGCTCTGGGTTTTGTCCTTGATTTTCTTTTTTTAACTAATTGTTTTAATATTTGTTTTGCTCTATAGTAAGAATAAATATGTAAAATGTATTAAGTAGTTGAACTTAATTAATACTTTCACTGGCTGATATTTAATATATTTATTATTTACTTCATTCCTCTCCTTTTTAAGGCATTTATAAATGATCAATAAAAAAAGGTGATTTTTTTACATTTGTGTGTTTGTGTATTTGCTTTGTATATCACTTTGTAATCAAAAAGGACTCCAAGCAGTTAACTAAAAAAAAAAAAAAAGCTATGGTCCCAAGCTCATTAACACCATAATGCATCACCCATGTGAATTTGTGGTATTTTAAATATTGGTCACACTTAAATACTTCACTGGGTATTTGTGGTTATCTTTATCAGCCGCAAACATTACTCGATTTTATTGTCAAGTCATTTTGTAGAACTGCCTCAAATTATAATGCCAGCTGTGGAATAAATAGAAAGATCATGGTGCCCAAAGTAATTTGGATTGATTGAGGCTAATATAAATCCCAGTTGGCTGCTAATTAGCTAGGGAGAGAGATTTGAGATTCTGGTTTTGATATACCAAACAATTTAGGGAAAGGATTATTATCAGAATATCCTCACATTTATAGATCTGGTCAGTCACTGAGATGACCAGGAAGCTTTGCTACATGTTCTGAGAAGCCTGTGCAAAGTTGGGTTTGAAGGATCAGTTGGGAATTCTGCTATTGTACTGGATTCCTGCTATTGCACAGCAGGCTCCCTGCCTGCTCTGCTCAAGGCTGTCTCTGGGCTGGTGGTGGAGTTCCCCAGACTTATGATTCAGGGGGACTTCAATCTGCCATCCTTGGGGGAGGACTTGGAGACAGCACAGGAGCTCATGGGCACCATGAGAATCATAGACCTGACCCAGCTTATTGTTAAGTACAAGAAATGGAAAGGCAGAACATTTTATACAGTTAGAATCTTAATTGTTGATTAAAACCCTTTTGAATATATTTTTCAAAAAATGTGTCCAGAAGTACTTTTTGAGTTTCATATGAATCGTGTTAATTTCTCCCCAATATTCAACAGACCCCAACCCTTAGGAAAGTTGTTAAGCTGGGTGTTCCCCAGGGGCCAGCTGAGTGGAGTCCCCTTTTGGTCATTTTGTTATAGTGCTTAATCATATTTTTATATTTTGTATCATATATTTATATATTGTATGTTTTAATGTGATATGGTTTTATTTTATTTTATTTTATTTGTCAAATTTATATGGCCACCCATCTCACACAAAGTAACTCTGGGTGGCATACAATAAAACCAGCAATTAAAACATTCTACAGAACCAATTAAAACAATGGACACAGATAAAACAAGACCATGAGAGGGGAAATATTACATATAATACAGCCAGTCCCCTTTTTTGTTTGTTTATTGTTTGTTTTTTTGTTGTTGTATGCCACCCAGAATCACATTGTTTGAGTTGGGCAGCCATATACATCTAGTTAATACATAACTACATTAGTTTTGCTGGCATACAATTTTCTCAAAAAAACCATAGTCAATTCAAGTGCTGACGTTTCTGATGAGGTAATTCTGTTCTGTCCAGAGTGCCTTGGATTGTTCTCCATGTCACGCCAGCCCTTTTAATCTATTTCACGCCTAGTATCAACCCCCCTATTCATATAATGGCTGTAACTACTCACCTCACAGCCACATATGTTCTAATAACCTCTGATGCTTACCAAGCCCGAGTGCAACCTGAGCCAGAGAGATCCCTGGGACCTACAGATCCCACCTCAGGAACGTTCAGAAACCAGATATCTAGGGAATTCTCCATTGGAACATGTGATCTCCAGACATCAGCAGGCTATTACAGCAGCTGAAAAACACAATTTCTTATCATGCCTCATCATTCTGCAACCAGGATCTTCATTTACATTTCTATTGTATGTGAGTGAATCCCTTTAACTTGTCCTTGCTTTTCTGGACAAAAAGGGATTTTGGAATGATATGAGTTAAGCTGCCAATTAAATGGGTTTCAGATATTTTCATCTAAGGAGATCAATTTTTCACAAAGTAAATGACTTATAGGCAGTGCTCACCGCTTGGTGAAATCTCTTTTGATTTAGAGTTGTTTTAAAATGAAGATCCAACTTGGAAGCAGAAAAATACATGAGCTGGACAGAAAGATTTGTTAGTACAGTAGAACAGCAAGGAACAAAATATGTAGCTTCTTTCCTGTCCTCCTTCCCATGGATGCTCCAAATTCACCCAGCATAACACCTTTGTGGATGGGGAAGCTTTGGATTCAGCATAAATTCAGTATTTTGCCTCTAAGTAGCTGAATCGTCCAATGTGCAAAGCCTGGCTAAACTGATCTTGGGCAGGCTAAATTCATGCCAAATACAAATATTTCCCAGCCTGGACAAGGTGAAAGGTATTTTTTAGAGTTGTCTTGCATTCATTGAATACCACTAACCACTCTATTTTTTTCTTGCATTGTTCCTAGTGTAAATGGGGCCTGAATGTGGTATAACTTAGTTCTTCTCTTGCCTCTTCTCTCCCTTATTTTTTGCCTTTCCTGGTCATATGTATTTTGTTCTGGTGGCAGGAAGTGATTTCGACTAGCAGAATTTACCAACATCCCCTTTCCAGACAGCGCTTTTGCAGTTTGGATCAGCTATAGTACCTGTTCCAATCACAAATTTTAAAAAAGATTTCTTCTAGTCTTTTTTTTTTTTTAATATTTTTTTATTTTTACAACAAACACAAAACATACATGAACAAA